CATAGCAAAGTCGGAATTGACCCTTTTTTATTTTTAGAAATAGCCTTTGTGCACAGCCAGCCTTGTACTCTTCTAGGTTCAAAAACCCTGTTATTTCAAACAGAAAACACGATTATTTTTCTTACCCCATTGGCAGATTATTTTGCTTGTTTCAAGCAAAATCTCACTTCAATTCGACTTGTTTTTTCTGAAAACAAGACAATAATTTTTACTTGTCTAGAAAATCCTTCTTGATTTAAGAATTTTTAGATATTTTGGCTGGAAACAAGACAAAAGATCTAAGTTAGAAAAGCATTTTTGCAGTGAGATTGTCATAGCAAAGTCAGAATTACTAGGTTCACGAAACGGTCGTCCATAAAATGCATTGCTGTTCTGTTGTAAGTCATCTTAAAGATTCCTAAATGCATCTACTTTCGGAAGGCCAAATAAAGTGCTTTGGCTTTCGCCTAGAAACACACAACGTCTCCCTGACAACGCTTCAACACTAACTGCGGTTACTGAAACCACGCCTTCTTTCTTTGCGTGAACATTTGGGCGGCATTATGCAAATATTTCCACATAGTGATGTAGACATGTGGGGGCGTGTTAGAACGAGCTGTTTTAGGGGGCGTGGCAGAGTCTTAACTTTGATAAAGAATATCTCTTTGGTTTTGAGACTTTAGTCTTTGCAACTTCAGGGATCTTATCTATGCACAATCAGCTTGTAACACTCCAAAGAGAAAGGAAAACTTGAAATCGCATCATATGACCCCTTTAATATGTAAAAAACCATACTTTCAATGAATTTTAATTTTGTAAATTACCTGTATTTGTTTAAGTTATAATTACTTAATCAAAACAACCCAACTTCAGTTTGATTGATATTACTTGGAATGCACAATAAAAAAAACATGATTTCTGAAAAAAAATGGAGTTATCGGTTTTTGCAAATGAACTCTTCATTCATATATAACATTATATTTCTCTTTTTGTCTCTCTAGTCATTCCAAGGCAGCCAGGGACGAGCCTACCTTTTCAATTCAGTGTAAGTATATATCTCATTCACATCAGTGATTTATAGCATTTTCCATGTTGTGAATTCAAATGATACACTATTGTTCAAAAGTTTTGGGTCTGTCTTTTTAAGAAATTATTCTTTTAGTCAGCAAGGATTCATTAAATTCAAAATGTATCAATAGTAGCAATAAAGATATTTGTAATATTACAAAAGCATTCTATTTCAAATAAATGCTGTTCTTTTGAACTTTATATTCATCAAAGAATCCTGAAATATTTATTATCACGGTTTCCACAAAAGCTGCACAAACGTTGATAATAAGAAATGTTTCTTGAGCAGCAAATCAGCATATTAGAATGATTTCAGAAGGATCATGTGACACTGAAGACTGGAGTAATGATGCTGAAAATTCAGCTTTGCATCACAGGAATAAATTACATTTTAAAATATATTACAATAGAAAACAGTTATTTTAAACTACAAATGAATCAAATAAAAGCAGCCATGGTGAGCAGAAGAGACTTCAGAACATCCGCCCCCAAACTTTTGAACAGTATTGTGTATGAGGGATAATGTACCTGGTCGTTTATGCAAAATAAACCCAGACAGATTTCAAGGCAGATGGGTGTTATATCACCCTGAAGGGGTTTATTCTGTCATAATGACCGTGTGACTGCACATTATCCCTTATATCTCTATCTGAGGCTCATAGAGGAATGGGAATGGCTGTTTTGCATATTACAAGAGCTTTAGGCCTAAACATTGCACTGCTCTCTAATGATGCAAGTTGATGATTCATCATATTTTAGCATTGCGCTACTAGTGTGTTTAAGCTAGCGCTCTGGTGTGTGTGTGTGTGAGATAAAGTCTAGGTTAAATATGTTTGTGTTAGTGAACTGTGACATTCCTCAGGCGATACATAGACTGCACAGTCTTTTGAAATATACAATATTGACCTATAGAGACTTTATGAAAGTGTACATGAAAGATGCATTAATGAAAGATTAATTTGCTACTAAATTAAATCACGTTACCACTGAAAATGTCATATCATATGCTAGCGTTCAAAAGTTTGGGGTCAGATTTTTTAAAAGAAATTAATACTTTTATTCAGCATGGATGCATAAAATTGTTTAAAAGTGGCAGTAAAGACATATAATAAAAATATTTCCATTTCAAATAAATGCTTTTCTTTTGAACTGTCTATTCATCAAAGAATCCAGAAAAAAATATGTTTCCACAAAAATATTAAATGGCACAACTGTTTTCAATAATAAGAAATGTGAACGATTAAACTGATTTCTGAAGGATCATGTGACACTGAATGCTGGAGTAATGATGCTGAAAATTCAGTGTTACATCACAGGAATAAATTACATTTTAAAATATATTACAAACAGTTATTTTAAATGTTAATATTTCATAATATCAGTTTTTACTGTATCAAATAAATGCAGCCTTGGTGAGCATAAGAGACTTCTCTCAGAAACATAAAAAAATCGTACTAACCCCAAACATTTGAATGGTAGTGTAAGTTGTGAGATTCATTACTGTGAATTTTATTCATTATGTATTTCAATAAGTTTTGACCATTATATCAAAGCCAGCTCATTATGCATCTGGTCTCCACTGGCTAATTTAAATAATCTTTTGCTTCTGAATTTATGTATACTCACTTTTAGCATTACTAACATTTGAGCCTCATTAAAGATGAGCAGAACAAATTTCTGTGTAAATCATTTGTAAAACCATTGTGACGTGAATTGCATCGTGTATATGGTTTGATCATCGGTATGCAGAAACATCTAAAATAACCCCTACATGGTCTATTTTAGTCAGTTGATTTCTGATGAAAATGAAATGTGATTTTAAAGTTATTCTAGTTGCAGCCTAGTGTTATTTTACTGTAATGCTACATGGCACATTGGTGACTTCCAGTGTAGACACAGTGTGATAGCAATCACATCTGCTGTAGTTCTGCTTCTGACCTCCTCAGAAAACACATCATCTGTCTCATGAATAATCATTTTGACCATTGATTAACCTCTTTTCCCTCAGTGTGAATGTCGGTTGTGGTCCAGCAGAAGAGAGGGTTCTCCTAACAGGTTTACACGCTGTGGCGGACATCTACTGTGAAAATTGTAAAACCACTCTGGGCTGGAAATACGTACGTTAACTCTCCTTCCATTCCACGCAAATTATAGACTATTATTTTAAACGCTTTAATGTCTTTCTCTTGCATCTCAAGACAAGCTGCGTTTTGTTTCGAGGTGTCACACTTTGCTGATACGTGCTTGTTCTGCAGTTGGCTAATCTGAGCTGTGTGTGTTTCTTTATTTTTGTCTACTGATATCCTGTTACTTCGCTGGTCTCTAGTGACCAGAATTAACATCCTCTGACCTCTCACTGCAGTCCAGCACACATTTAGCTCTATATATGTCTTTATTCACCGCTCAATTAGGACCCACTTTGATGCTGTAAGTGTTCATGCGGTTGTGTTTTCATACGCAATCCAAACAGCAGACAGTGAATAATAGATCAGTTTTGATAACATTTTATAATAACTTCCATTAATAAGTCATTAAAACAAACACTACCTCATAATATAATGCTTAACATATCTGTAATGTGAATTTAAAATTTGAAATAAAGTTTCATTCATATTTAAATATATTTCATCATACATGAAAGTACAGAAATGGACAATAAATGAATATTTTTAAAAGAAATTAGTACTTTTATTCAGCATGCATGCATTGCATTAATTAAAGGTGACAGTGAAGACATTTATAATTTTGCAAAAGATTTCTATATCAATTATGTTAAACTGGATTATGGATATGGATTTTGTGACACTGAATCCTGGAGTAATGGCTGCTGAAAATTCAGATTTGCCATCACAAAAATAAATTACATTTTGAAATAAATTCAAATAGAAAAGAGTTATTTAAAATTATATAATATTATTATATATATATTAATACAATATATTTTGTAATCTAATAATCTTTTCATCTAAAGCTAATGGTAAAAGGAATGCTCTGTCACATTGTTTGTGTGTGTTTTTGTAAATGACAGGTATTGAGGTTTTATGTAGTTGTTTCTCTTCCTGATTAAACCGGAACTCTAATTGTATCTCAGGATTGGTTAAGAGGGATTTTACACTAATGACTAAATCTTGTTAGTCTTCAGGGGGTGTATTACAGAAAGTTTCTTTTCTTAGGTCTTAACTTAAAGGGGTCATATGACGCGATTTCAATTTTTCCTTTCTCTTTGGAGTGTTACAAGCTCTTGGTGCATAAAGACGATCTGTAAAGTTGCAAAGACTAAAGTCTCAAATCCAAAGAGATATTCTTTATAAAAGTTAAGAGTCAACCACGCCTACCTAAAACGCCTTGTTCTAACACGCCCCCACATATCTACGTCACGATGTGGTAAGATTTGCATTACGCCGCCCAAATGTTCACGCAAAGAAAGAAGGCGTAACTTTTATTCTCGCTGTAGTATTGTTGCTGCCGCCGCCGCCATGTCGTGAAGACGCTGTGTGTTTCGTTGTGAAAGCGAAACTACTTTGTTTGGCCTTCCAAAAGAGGACGATATCCGCTTCGTCATGCCTAGAGCTGATCCGTGCTGGTCGCTGAGGAAATACATCAACTTCGCGCTGTGGATCGCCGGATCGGCTTTCACCGTGGACGAAGCGGAGTCTAGCCCGGGGTCATCACGTGTGGTTGCCGCAAGCCCGCCCACCGCCGCTCACTCAAGCCGGCCTCTGCTCACTCTAGCCCACCAGCTGCACCATTCTCAAGCCCGCCGTGTGTGATGGTGTGTGTTTCGTTGTGAAAGCGAAACTACTTTGTTTGGCCTTCCAAAAGAGGACACGACTAGAAATCAGTGGTTAAGTTGTATTTACAACACTGTTCCAGAACAGTTCAACCCAAATATTCAGATGTGTGCAGCACATTTTATGGAGGACTGTTTCCTGATCCTGGAAGAGTAGACTACAATGCCGGCAGTTCTGACTCACAGACTAAAAGTACATTTTCACATTTAAAGGATTTGCCACTGATGATTCAAACGCGAGTTTTGAGCAGTGGCGTAGCGCTTGTTGTTAGTCATTTCTCCGATCACACATGCAGACATGGTTTTATGTTTACGTGGCGCGAGCTTAATTTGGGATTCTTATCCTATCTTACAAAATCGTATCTTAGCTCTAGTTAGGAAATCTTAAATTGCATTATCAAGCTCGACAATCCACTCTCAGGTCTGTTACCAAGCAACCAACAGTGCGCGAGCTGCTGATGAGGTTTTTCATATTTGTATAAAAAAAAAATGTATAACACTATTCTTTGTATTATATCACCTTTATAATTAAAAAAAACAGTTAACGCTAATGCAAGGGTGTTTCTAATGCAGCATCTATGGGAGGGATGGTAAATTTGACATCGTTCTCTCTTCTGACTGCCGTTATCAGTCTCTGTCAATTTTTTTCCTTTTATTGAAAGTCATGAAAACCCTATCGAGGAGTTTTTCTTTTGCTATTTGAGCAAATGGGAATGCAAAAAAAAATATTTGTGGTACTCTCCCATTCACTGCTCTTCAAGTTAACACAACTATGACGACTTCCGCTGCTGAGAAACCCGGAAATGTGAAAAAGGTCCATAACCGTTAATGCTCCGTGACGCTTTGTTGGTCTCTGTAATGCTGGTTGCAGTTTCTGTGCTAACTGTAATATCATGTTGCGCGGCAGTCTGTAATTATAAGTGTTTTGTCATCAAAATGTAACACATCTTCAGAGTCCTCCAAGAGTCTTTCTACCATTAAACATCTCCGTTCTTCATTTTCAATTGTTAATAAATGTAATACCATTGTTGGACAGCGCAATTGTAAGCATATTTTCCGCTTTCAAATAATTGTGAAGTTTGGACAGATGTGGGGTTGCCCTAAAGTTAAGACAGTTTTTAGGATTTTTTGTCAAGTTAGGAGGTTTCTGTAATACCCCCTTCCTATCTGTAGTTAAGATAAGATAACACACTTAGGAAACTTTGTTCTGTAATAGCTTTTGTCCTAAATGTGGTCATGACTGAATTTACCATGGTTACCAAAGAGATAAGATAAGATTTTAAAGTTAGGGTCTTTCTGTAACACTGAACTCACACCAAGCCAGTCGTGCAGATCTGATTGTGACACTTGTGAAAATAATTAGAAGAACATCTGTTACTGTTTCATGTAGTGACACACAATATAACATTATATACATTTACCGGTGTGCCTGCTATTTTAGGATTTTTTGTCAAGTTAGGAGGTTTCTGTAATACTCCCTTCCTGTCTGTCATTAAGATAAGATAACACGTGATATGTGACATGTGGCCAAGTATGGTTACCCATACTAGGAATTAGTGCTCTGCGTTTAACCCATCCTAAGTGCACACACACACCGTGAACACACACCCGGAGCAGTGGGCAACCATTTATGCAGTTGGGGGTTCAGTGCCTTGCTCAAGGGTGCACCTCAGTCATGGTATTGAAGGTGGAAGAGAGCGCTGTACATTCACTCCCCCCACCTACAATCCCTGCTGGACTTGAGACTCGAACTTGCAACCTTTGGGTTACGAGTCCTACTCTCTAACCATTAGGCCACGACTTCCCCACACTTAGGAAACACTGCTTTTGTCCTAAATGCGGTCCTAACTGAAATGACCATGGTTACCAAACAGATAAGATAAGATTTTAAAGTTAGGATCTTTCTGTAATATGCCCCCTGGGGGTCTCCACATGTTTGATCACAGAGCCTTTAGATTCAAGCCACTCTGAAACACTTATCACGGAGCAGTTTTTCGAAGCTCTTTTCACTCAGTAACAGCTCTTATTTTAAGCCAACTGAGTTGAAGCTGGCAGTGTAGGGTTTACAACCAGAGGCACGATGACACACCACTGCTCTAGTGGGCGATTTGAGTCAGATGAGTAATGGACAGGTGCGAGAGGAGATTCAGACAGCCTAAAGCAGTTAAAAAGACTTTAGTTAAGCTGACCATACTAAAGCAATAGCTAGTTTTATATAATTTCAGCATGCTATATTGTGTAACAGGGGAGTCTTGTCCTGACCAGAATACATTAATAGGCTCATATTCTACATTTTTATAGCTTTTTATTTCCCCCTTTCTTGGACCAAAATATTTCTTTCTGGCCTTTTTAAACAGCCAGTTTTGGCTACTGTACTTTTAAGGCCTCTGTTGTGATTAGTTAACATCTTTGTATCAATGTAGTTCCAGCAACAGTATTGCAGCAGTAAATAAATATTATTATTGTTTATTTTATAGTCATTTATTATTTCATAGTCATCAGTTCAGAAAAATTGCAATTCTATTTTCCCCCCAAATTGTGCAGCCATACTAGAAAAAGAAGCCATATGTAAATGTGCCATATGTTGTGTGAGAGTATACGTATCAGTTGTGATATAAATATTGCAGTTTCTATTTTTGTAGTTTAACCTCAATACATGGTCTGGGTATACTGGTGAGGGAGCATATCAATATTATACTCAATTAAGAGCAAGATAAATCCTGTTTTCATGTGTGTTAAAAGGGAATTTAGTCTTCATTTACTCACCTTCATGTCTTTCCAAGCCCATAAGACTTTGGTTAATTTTTGAAACACAAATTAAGAGATTTTTAATGAAGCCTGAGAGGTTTTTGTCCCTCCATTGAAAGTCCGGGTGACTAAAATTCAATAGACCCTAAAAGGTCATAAAGGCGCCATAAAACAAATCCATATGATTTTATGCTTTTATTTACATCTAAACAATGATTGTCAAACACATAGCTATAGCGCATTGCTTATGGCAAACACAGAAGCTTGTGTGTGTGTGTCAAGTGCTAGAACAAATTTAAAAGCATACATATCTCCACAAGTTTTGGACTAAACCACTCTTTTAAACGCTTTTATAGCATTTTTGGATCTTCTGATCTTTTTTTGGGAGTTTTTGTTACCCGAACTTTCAGTGGAGGTGCAGAAACTGCTCAGCTTCTTTGAAACACAAATTAAGATATTTTTAATGAAGCCTGAGAGGTTTTTGTCCCTCCATTGAAAGTCCGGGTGACTAAAATTCAATAGACCCTAAAAGGTCATAAAGGCGCCATAAAACAAATCCATATGAATTGAGTGGTTTAATCCAAATCTTGTGAAGAGATACAATCACCTTATATGATGAACAAATTTAATTTATGCTTTTATTTACATCTAAACAATGATTGTCAAACACATAGATATAGCGCATTGCTTATGGCAAACACAGAAGCTTGTGTGTGTGTGTCAAGTGCTAGAACAAATTTAAAAGCATACATATCTCCACAAGTTTTGGACTAAACCACTCTTTTAAACGCTTTTATAGCATTTTTGGATCTTCTGATCTTTTTTTGGGAGTTTTTGTTACCCGAACTTTCAGTGGAGGTGCAGAAACTGCTCAGCTTTCATTAAAATATGTTAATTTGCGTTTTGAAGATTAGCCAGCGTATTATGGGTTTGGAATGACATGAAGGTGAGTAAATGATGACGGGATTTTCATTTCTGAGTGAACAATCCCTTTAAGTAGACAGAAGTATTGTTTGATTTATTTCAGTAGCCAAAACGGCAAATTCTCAGTCCTAATGTTTCGTCTGGTTTTGTCTGTTACAGGAGCATGCATTTGAGAGCAGTCAGAAATACAAAGAAGGCAAGTTCATCATCGAGCTGGCTCACATGATCAAAGATAATGGCTGGGAGTGACCTTCACCTACTTCCTCTCCGCTCAGTGACCTTTGGGCTGCTCTGTCGTGGACTTTGCCGAGTGACACCACCACACGCACACGTATACAAACAAAAAACGCACAGACACGCACGCGCGTGCACACACGCCACCGTCGACCATGACGCATCCTGACATCTCTACTGGGTCATCACAAAACTCAAAGGCAGAGTGACTGAAAGCAAGTCAAAGACATCTACGGTCACTGAAAAACTCTCTAGGACCTTTTTCCGAGATGTACATGTCAACACTTTGGGATCCGAACCTTCTCCCTTCCTGTTTGACTGCCCCATTAGCTGGTTTCGGTGTGCTCGGCGCTCCTCGTGTGTAAACGCTCCTCATAAGCTGTTAACAGTGTCCAGAAGACACATCACGCCACTGTCGACCATGACGCATCCTGACATCTCTACTGGGTCATCACAAAACTCAAAGGCAGAGTGACTGAAAGCAAGTCAAAGACATCTACGGTCACTGAAAAACTCTCTAGGACCTTTTTCCGAGATGGGCATGTCAACACTTTGGGATCCGAACCTTCTCCCTTCCTGTTTGACTGCCCCATTAGCTGGTTTCGGTGTGCTCGGCGCTCCTCGTGTGTAAACGCTCCTCATAAGCTGTTAACAGTGTCCAGAAGACACATTCTCAGTTTTTTTCATTTGACATCGTGATTAAGCAGGCGTTTTAGTGTGCGTTTTCTTTTCAACAGGAATCTCGAGTCCTTCCTGGTGGACTGATGTTACTGGTTAGCATTTTTCTCTTTCTCTGAATCAAAGCCTGTTCTGATTGTCTTTCCATTCACGTTGGGGTCGCGACAGACACAATTGACAAACATTATAGGAGACGGGGTTGGTTTCAGGGTTAGGCTATGTAGCAGTATATTTCAGATGGGGGGTGGGGGTTCAGCATTGCAGTGGCATGGCATTTCCCTTGCGTTTTACCCATTTTATTTCCGAATCGAAATGTTTTTCTTCCTCGGATGACTTCACTGTGCAATTCGTGGGACACTCTGGTACGTACAGCAGTAGCGTCTGACCCCTACAGGAGCTTTAGTTGTCCCTGGTGCTTTTGGTGAGATTACACAAACACGCGTCTTTGAGTTGGCATTTGTGGCGGGTTCCATTTTTGCAACCGTACTATAGGCGAGATCCGTTTGGATGCACTGGACATTGGGGAAAACTGAAACTAGTGTCCTCGGAACATTGTTTGAGTTACATTTTCATCCCCCTTCAAATGATGACAAGATTTTACAAAACTATTGTTGTTGATATTACAATCATGTGTATGTTCATTGCTATGTGTAATTTATGTGTTAAACCACATGTTTGGACATGCTCAGTGTGTTTTACGCATTATGTTTATGGCATACTTGAATGCAGTTACTTTGTTTGCACTTTGCAGAGGCCTTGTTCATGAGTTTAGAGGCAAAAGTCTGTCCATTTTATGGCCTTTTTTTTCATTGGTAATAATCCAATGATTGATTTGATGCTTTGAATGATTTGCAGGGTTGGGTGGTTGCTGGCTTGATCATCTCCCTCTAGTTTCAAACACACAAAATCTGCTGCTTTCGCTTTCTTTCCGCAGGCTGGCAGACCTGTTCGCTATGCTCGTAATTCGCCCAATTGGATTCGCGCATCAGAAGCAGGTCTCAAATTTTACAGTCGGACACCATTCAATGTGGCGTTACTCGATTCTTTTGCTGCTAATAGAGATCAACGCAATCCGGAGCTTTCACTTTAAACCTTCTGCACTTTACCCGGACTGTCTGGGAGCATGCGAGCGGATGCGTTCCTTTTGTAGCTTTTCTCCACATCTTTGCCTCTAAGCAGCATGAATCTTGTGCCTCTTCAAAAGACAAAAAAAAAAGAAAGACAAGAAATCTCCCTCTCTTGTGTTGTGCGGCGCATGACTCTGAGAACCCAGCACATCTATTAGAAGCTCTGCTGGAGCTTCGTATCGAACTCGAAAAGAAAGACAAGAAATCTCCCTCTCTTGTGTTGTGCGGCGCATGACTCCGAGAACCCAGCACATCTATTAGAAGCTCTGCTGGAGCTTCGTATCGAACTCGAAAACAACATGTACTTGGAAACGACCTTCACAAAACCTCTATCCACTCGAAAGTCTATACTGAAGCATAATATAATCCAGTATTTTTTCATAGTTTTATGTCAAAGCTAGAGATGTTATGAAACAGTGGTTGTATTCTGCAAAGTATATAAAAGGGGGCGGGACAGTTAGAACGGGAGGGGGCGTTGCTTGCTTCCTGTAGAGGTAAAGGGTGGCATTTAATGTAGATTTTTAGTGAATATATATATATATATATATATATATATATATCGTATCATACAGATAAATATCGAGGTTTTGTCGTGCTTAAGGGTGGGTGGGATTTGCGGGCAATAGTAGAATAAGTGGCGAACCCTCAGATAACGTTCGCCGCCAATAAGGTCAGTCCGGTCACGTGACCTTCGAATCTGTCAAAGACAATGCAAAGAAAATAGTTGTAGAAATATCTTACTTGAAAGATGATAACAGAGTTACAGACAATACATTGTCCCTCTCACACAGTTTTGTACATAAAATAACATATTTAAGGTTTTATACATATTTCTACTGGGTTAGTTTCTCTACTTCCCCGACTTGAAGCACTTTTGTTCACTGTATCTCTGGCTTTATATATGTGTGTGAATGGAGAGCGAGAGAGTGTGGATGCGTGAATGTGTGTTTCCTCACTTTATTTGTAGCCGTTTTTGCTGTTGTTAACTAGTTCCTCTGTGCTGTTTCCTTTATGACACTTCTTTTGCTGTCTCACAGCATGTTTTGATGTGTGCTCTCTTAGCTTGATGATAATGAGCTTTGTATTTTTTTTTTCTTTTATATTAAAGTTGATTTTATTTTGTTTCCTGTTGAGAGCCTAATAGCAGAATGTCTGCTGGTCGTGTTTTAGCATTAAGGTCAGCGAACTTTTTTTACACTAATATATTTCGGTTAAAATATATTTCAGGTGAGTTTTTTTATGGTTTTAGTTTACTATACAGTGGGGTTATTAAAGTTGTCACTTATTGGAAACTTTTCACATTTGATGTGATAGTTGCCATGATTACGATTTTTTTTCATGTCATGAATTGAAAAACTGGATTTTATCACACTCATACTAACAAATGTAATGTTTTCGTGCTATGGTTGTACAGTTTGAAAGTTTCTTTTTTTTTTACACTAATATATTTCGGTTAAAATATATTTCAGGTGAGTTTTTTTATGGTTTTAGTTTACTATACAGTGGGGTTATTAAAGTTATGTCACTTATTGGAAACTTTTCACATTTGATGTGATAGTTGCCATGATTACGATTTTTTTTTTCATGTCATGAATTGAAAAACTGGATTTTATCACACTCATACTAACAAATGTAATGTTTTCGTGCTGTCTATATAATTACTCCAGTTTTAGTTATTTTAGTACAACAAAAAACTAAATGAAAATAAGACTTCCCTGGCAACTAGCTGAAATAAAAGAACTTTTTTTTTCACACTAATATATTTCGGTTAAAATATATTTCAGGTGAGTTTTTTTATGGTTTTAGTTTACTATACAGTGGGGTTATTAAAGTTGTCACTTATTGGAAACTTTTCACATTTGATGTGATAGTTGCCATGATTACGATTTTTTTTCATGTCATGAATTGAAAAACTGGATTTTATCACACTCATACTAACAAATGTAATGTTTTCGTGCTATGGTTGTACAGTTTGAAAGTTTCATATTTTAAACATGATCAATGTTTAAATATTTTCTACTTAAATTTACACACCAAATATTTTTCTGTAGTAAACAAAAGCATGCCTTTGATGTTGATAGATTATTAAAGGGGTTCAGTGTAACCATCTCGATCAGATATTGAATATACAAACCCGATTCCAAAAAAGTTGGGACACTGTACAAACTGTGAATAAAAACAGAATGCAATGTGGAAGTTTCAATAAAAGTTGAAGAGAATAAAGTATTTAATGTTTAGTCAGACCAATAAAGTAGTTTTAATTCTCATCTTCAGCAAAGTCCATTGACCTGACTCACTGACCTGAAACAGCAGTCAGTCAATGTAGACTATACTGTCTGTATTCACCATAGGTCAATTTAGACCTGCTGGCTAATATAATAAGCATGTGCAATGAACTGTACAGTCACTGAAGTGATTTTATCCTGCAATTAATGGAATCATCCACCACTAAAGTCAGCAGTAAAACAACTGTTCTACTGCAAAGTGAGTACTTTGAGTCACAGTATCTTTGCATATGCTGAAGCGAGAGCAAATCATGCAAAACCACCCAGGTACGTTTAGGCCCAGTCTCAGTACAAAACATGCACATAATATTTGAAAGCCTAATATCAATATATCTCTTATCATATGAAAACAGAACCTCTCTTTTACTATATGTGTGTTTTTTATTCTTTTATGTTCAAGAAATGTTTGCTCGGAAAGTTCAGGGTTGACTAAACATCATATTTTAATGTTCAAAATTACGTCTGCTAACTTATATGTCAAGACAAAACATGGCAAGAGTCCAGTCATTTGACAATGGATCAGTTACGTCATCATGTAACAATTCTGTTTACTTCGTCCATGTTCATAGCGGGAAAAGAATGGCCCAATCTGACATATTCAGTTAACAGCCAAATTAAGCATTATTTAAGTGCGTTAATATGGCCAAATGACACATGAATGAAGAGCACAGGCATAAGAGGTCTGGAGGTCGCCTTTGTCTTATCAACGATTGGCTTGACTCCAGATTGGGGAACAAAGAACAGCGATGGGCGTTGGATAAGGTGTCTGGTTAAACCAGATAAGATGTGATTTTCTCTCTCTTACCGCTGAGGACATTCAACCTGTCACTCCTTTTTTTGTGCTAAGAATATTCTGTGGTTTCCTAGCGACTGGTGCTTTATTGCCGTGTGGCTTACAGGCCGTTTAAGTGTTTTTAGTTACTGACTAACAGACTTGCCAGTCTTTAAATAAAGACAGGTGAAGAGTTGCGTGGTTAACTTGATCAATACAATGACTTAATGTAGTCTGTGCACTCGTTTTGCAAGTAAACACTCAGTATTCATATGAATTCTAGGCCTGTTTTCATGGTCTTAATACATGAGTGTGCTACGTGTTCATGCTGAAATGAAATTAGGCCC